AGGGTGAAAGCGCATATAGATTTAAGGAGAGAGAGGAATGTAGGAATTATATTATTGCAGAGTGGGAAAATAAAGAATTAGGGAAGTATAAGAGGACTAGTAGGCAAAATTAAAGGCCCAAGAAGATTTTTGTGGTAATTGGTTTAAAATGAGAATTCTTCAGAGGTTATATGATTTTTTTTTTTTTTGCCAGCAAAGGTAGCTGATAAAGTGAATTTTAAATTTTTAGTAAACTTACATTTCACCTTTTTTTCTTAAGCAGCCATTTATTTTTTAATTTATCTTTATTGTTTAAGTATTATAGATATTCCCCCCCCCCCTTTTTTAAAATCTTCACCTGAGGATATTTTTTTCCATTGATTTCTAGAGAGTGGAAGGGAAGGAGGAGGGGGAAAGGGAAAAAGGGGAGGGAGGGAGGGAGGGGATGAGAGAGAAACAAGTACATGACATCAATTGGCTGCCTTCCTGGGAGGTACATGCCCCGGGAATGGAACCTATGACCCTTTGGTCTGCAGGCTGATGCTCTAACCACTGAACCAAACAGGCCAGGGCTAGATGTCCCTCTTTCCGCCCTCCCCCATTGCCCCCTACCACCCTACCCCTGCCCCCACCAGGCCTATCACACTATTGTAATTATGCTTATATGCATATACATTCTTTGATTAATCTCTTCCCGAGCCCCACCCTCATCCCCCTTCGCTGTAAGATTCATCAGTCTGTTCCATGCTTCATGTCTCTGGATTTATTTTGTCAGTTCATTAGATTCCACATATAAGTGAGATTATATGAAAAGAAACCATCAACATAATGAAAAGGGATCCCACTGTATGGGAGAACAGTATTTGCCAATGATATACCTGATAAGGGGTTAATTTCCAAAATATATAAAGAACTTATACAACTAAACAAAAGGAAGACAAACAATCTAATTAAAAAATGGGCAAAGGACCCAAATAAACACTTCTCCAAAGAGGTCATATAGATGGTCAAGAGACACATGAAAAAATGCTCAAAATCACTGCTATCAACAAGAGCTAAGATCTGGAAACAGCCCAAGTGCCCATCAGTCGGTGAATGGGTAAAAGGCTGTGGTACATTTATACCATGGAACACTATGCAACTGTAAAAAAGGATCTCCTTCATCATTGATGTTTCTTTCTCTTGCTCCCTATCCCTTCCTTTGTGAAATCAATAAAAATATATTTAAATTAAAAAAAGGCTCTCTTACCCTTTGAGCCAGCACGGAGAGACCTGGAGAGTATTATGCTAAGTGAAATAAGCCAGTCAGAGAAAGGCACATGTCACATGCTCTCACTTATAAATGGAATCTAAGTAACCATTTAAGTCAAAGGCTTTATAGTTTCGTTTATTAGCACTTTAAAATCACAAATAAAAACAGTGTTTACTTTCTTTTCCTTATTAATACTTTCAGACCATTTAAGTCAAAGCTTTTTAATTTTGTGAACTGATTATATGTTGATGTTATTTAACTGTGGTTGATGATGAAAAGATTAGGTGGTAGGCTAGCAGTTAAATGAATCCGGGTGATTGGCTCGGGCGATAAGGGCAGTTGGAATATAAAAGCAAGAAGTATTTGCTGTCATTGTGTCACACCTTGCCATTGTTACTTCATTCCTCCAATTCACAGTGCATCAATCATTCATTCATTCAATAAATACTTACTCGGCACCTATTATTTGCCAGGCACTGTTCTATATGCAGAGGATACACCAGTGAACAAGAGAGACAAGGTTCCTGCTTTCCTGGAACTTATGTTCTAATACAGGAAGATAGACAATAATAATAAAAATAATATTAATTATAATAATAGCTAACATTTATTTAACAAGTACTGTTTTCTGAGACAGTTTACGTGCTTTACAAGTATTAATCCACTAATTCTTATAACAACATTATGAAGTACAAACTAGAATTATTCCCGTTTTACACATGAGGAAACTGAGGGCACAGAAAGGAAGAACAGCTTGCCTAAGATTACACAGCAAGGAAAGGGCAGAACTGGAATTTAGAACCAAACCAGTCAGGCTATCGCTCTCTTTACCTTTTAATGACTTTTCTATGCTGGCTCTCAGACAAGACACTAACCAATACACAAATCATAAATAGGTTTCGTAGTATGAAAAACAAAGCAGGGTAAGGTGATGGTATATGTGTGTGCACATTTGGGGTGCAAATTTAGATGCCAGGGAAAACCTCACTGAGGAAGTGACATTTGGACTGAGACCTGAAGGGCCCTAGTAGCTATTCTGGGGCACAGGCAGCAGAGAAAAGCTCGTGTAAAGAAGTCTGTCCTTGTGTGTGAAACAGAAGCGCCTGCTTGGCTGTGGCGCTAGACCTTAGGTGTGGAAGATAGTGACCGATTAGAAAAGCCAGGGCGACAGGCAGGCCAGGCCACGCCGGATGGGTCCTCGGGCCACATTAAAAAATTTAATCGTCGTTCTAACTGCAATGGATCTCTATGCAGGAGATAACACTACCCAATTCATAACTTTAAGAGGCCCCTCTTGCAGCTCTCTGCAAAACTGCAGGTAGGACACAAGTGCAAGCAGGAACATCTCCTAGGAGGCAGTTACAATCTAGGCGGAAAATGGTAGCGGCTTGGACTAGGGCAGTGACCGCGGAACAAAATTTAGGGTAAATTTGCAAAGTTGCATTGGCAAGACTTGCAAAGGGACCGGATGTGAAGAGTGACTGAAGAGGAATTTAAGTAGGAGCCTTGAGGCTGGGGGCTGAGTAGCCAGTGCGATGGTAGTGTCCCCAAGGGGATGTGTAAGGGGAGGGGAGAGATACCTTCAGCAAGGAAAATCAATATTGACATTTTTGAACTTTATGGAAGAAAGGGCTTTTTCTACTTTTTTCCCCCCACTTAAAAGTTTCAAATAAGAGTTCTGAGGGGGAAAAGCATCTTAATGTTCAATTCTATGAGCTCTTTTACATTAGAAACTCGAGGGAGTTGAATTTTCAATTGTTTAGCAAAATAATTTATTGAGCATCTACTCTGGCCACGCACTGTGCGATGAGATAGCATGATACGCTAAGCAAACAAGACCCCCTGCTCGCAGAGTGTCTGGGGGGCCGAGGGGGGAGGAGAGGGAAGGAGGGCTGATTTTCCCCCTGTTCGCTGCCTTATTAAAACTTCACCTATTGCGCGAGGAGCCATCTTATCACGGCAGCTCGCGCTCCTGGCAGTTGGGCCCACCGCTCCCAACGCCCGAAGCCAATTCATACATAAATGAATCTCTAAATCGTGACACCACCCCTCCCGCTAGAACTCAGGTTTTTTTAAACATAAAATTTTAGCAAACAATACGAATACAACCTTTGCTCTGAAGGCTAATATTTTTTTTTTTGCAGGAATGGTACCTTTATAAAGATCGTGGTTGCCCCCGTACTTATTTGTTCTTTCTTCATATCCACTTAAATGAAAATACTAGTGTTTCCGTAGCCCAGCCCTCTAGGCTGGTTGGGTCTAGCTCTGGAGAGAGGCAGCAGGAGCCGTTGGATTTAAACAGTTGGGAGGAATCCTTCTCTACGCTCCCTCTCGCTAGCCGGGGACGTGGTGGCGGCTACCCGGGGCTTTCCGTCCACGCAGTACCGGAATGAAGGAGTCTGGGAGGGGGTCGGGGAAGGAAAAGACGGAAGAGACATTAAGTAATTGGTTCTTGAAGGTATAAAATGATGTTTAAGATCAGCTCTACGGCACCGAATTCAAACGACCGCCCCCTCGGCCGTTTCGGCCCCGCCCCTCGCCGACGTCACGCCGACTTCCCCCTCGGCCCCCGCGGATTGGTCGCTTCCTCCGCCCCTGAAGGGCGGCCAAAGGGCTTGGCGTTCACTTCCGGGTCTTGGGCTGTGGCCCCGGATGCAGAGGATTCTGGGAGCCCGAGAGTCGAAGGAAATGTCTGTGTGATCTCCGGAGGCTGCCAAGTCGGAGAAGTCGGCGAGGCGAAGTCCGCGGGTTCCTGCCGACATCCCGACGGCGCGCTCCCGGGAGACGGGAATAGTTATCCGGCTGCAGGAAACACTGTCTCCCCGTCGGGATACGGACCTTCCTTTCCCTTTTTTGAAAATAGAGAGACGTGTGCCAGTTCCCCCTACATCCCCCCTTCATCCCACTTGCTTTTCTGACGCTTAACGGGGTCTTAGGAGCCACTTGTATTATGTTAGTTTACTGTTATTTTGGCTGTTCATTGCCAAAGGCAACGTAAGGCCGGGTCCCCGAGGGTATCAGCATCCTTGGGGGGTGGGGTTCCTGCCTTTGGAGCATCCCGTAATTGTAATTTGTAACTTACAGAAGATCTGACTTGTGCTCTATTGGCTGCCGTAAGAAACAGGTGGATCAGCAAAAGGCTGGGGCATTTTGCCCAGGTAACTGTTAGTGTTTGTTTTCATTGTTTAGTCCTCACGCCAAGACATCTTTCCATTGTTTTTAGAGAGAGTGGAAGAGGACCGGAAAGACGGAGAAGTATCGATCTGGGAGAAACTCATAGACTGGTTGCCTCCTGTCGGGGCCCTGAGCAGGGCCCAGGCCGGGAGGGACCTGCAGCCCTGGTACCTTCCTTGGTCAGAATCGAACCGGGACCCTTTGGTCCGCAGGCCGAGGCTCTGTCACCGAGCCAAACCGGCTCCCCGCGGTGACTGTTACTGAGGTTTAGCACACTTTTACCCGGGACACGCAGGGATTACATTATCTTTTTTTGTGAGGTTTAAATATCCCTTTTGTAGTGTCTAGCTCTAGCCTGTTTTCTGTTGTGTGAGGTTTAGATTAAAGGTGGGCCACAGGGGCTCTGGCGGAGTTGAGAATTTTTAAAACTCAGTCGTGGCAATACTGTATTTTACAAGGGCTTTGCTGCTCAAATCCTGTATAATAAAAGGCTAATATGCAAATTGTCCCCCGGATCAGGAGTTGGACCAGGGGGTGGGGCTGGCCGGTCAGCCTCCGGGTTCCCCTCCCCAGGATTGGCCCAGCCCCATTGGCCACATCGGGGTGGGCCAGCTGGACCCGCCTGGGCACGAATTCGTGCACCGAGCCTCTAGTCTCGTAATAATTCTATGAAGAATATCCCCATTCCACAGATGACAGAAACTTAAGCTAGATGACTTGCCCAAGGCCACAGAGGCAGGAGAACGGGAACACAAACTCAGATCTTCACAATGGAACTTTTTGTGCTAAATAGGAGTTACCTGAGAACCTTAATCTTTGTACACCCTGAGCCTCACTATTTGTTTTCTTGAGAACTTTTGTGTTGAGGTTATTTAAGTAAGTTTTGGAGAGTGAGTTAATGGAAATTATTTTACAAGGGTGGATATTAATTAAATACTTTTAAGAAAAGAGAATTTTGCCATTTGGGAAATAACTTGATACTATTTTTCTTCACAGCGTAAAAGATGACAACAGCAGCTCGGCCAACTTTTGAACCTGCTAGAGGCGGGAGAGGAAAAGGAGAAGGTGATTTGAGCCAACTCTCAAAGCAGTATTCAAGTAGAGACCTACCCTCTCATACAAAGATAAAATATAGGTAATGAAGACTTTCATTTTCTTGTTCACAAAGCAAGTGGCATGGTCATGAGATAGTAGTATGTTTGGGTTATATCACTTAAGTCATCTATTTTTATATAGGTAGAATGTAATAGGATATCTAACACTAAAATTATATGCTAAGATTGTAAAAAGCTACCAGATATTTTTAAGCAGAAATTCCTGTTAACCAAGAAATTTCTGTTAACCAAGAATAATGTAGATTCATTTGGGGAAGTAATACATTTCTTTCTAGAGACAATGCACTCTCAGTACTAATCAATATGAAAATAAAGCGTTATTGTAATGTTTCCTGAGTTGACCTACTAACAAAAAATACATTTTAATGGATCTCCAGCCTTATTATGGGAATATATATGTGATTCATTTGGGGATTCTTGAAATATTACAAATATCATGTGGGTACCTATAATTTACCCTCAGATTAGGGTAATATCTCCTCCAGTTCCTTCTTTTGTGCTGGAGGGACTTGAGGACAAAGTTGTTTTTTGTGAATTATCTTCCATTGCTACAGCCATAGGTTTTTTAGAAACATTTTTGCCCTGGTTTGTTTCTACTTTAGACAGACCACTCAGGATGCCCCTGAAGAGGTTCGGAACCGTGACTTCAGAAGAGAATTAGAAGAGAGAGAGAGAGTTGCTGCGAGAGAAAAGAATAGAGATCGTCCAACTCGAGGTACCAACACATATGTCTCATAAGATTGTTGACAGTACCCTAACCAGTTTGGCTCAGTGGATAGAGTGTCGGCCTCTGGACTGAAGGGTCCCAGATTCTGGTCAAGGGCCTGGACCTTGGTTGTGGGCACATCCCCAGTAGGGGGTGTGCAGGAGGCAGCTGATCGATGATTCTCTCTCATTGATGTTTCTAACTCTCTATCCCTCTCTCATCCTCTCTGTTAAAAAAAAAAAATTGTTGACAGTACTTTTTCTTTCACTTGGTAATTGGAATAGGCTACCATTTGTGTTTGCTTTTAAATATTGGTGTGAGTTGCAACACTACTAAATGATATCAGATTTGGTTAAATTAGTTAGATTAGAGGTGATAATAAAGTTGATTGTAGTTCCATCTTCTTATGGTTCTATAGAAGGAAAAAGATGACCTGGGGATATTTAGCAGCCATTGTTTCCATTTAGATCAAAATGTTTATAAGAGCCAGACTTTTTGAGGCCCCATGGTTTCTGTCTATGAAGTTCTCCCATTTTTGTTGGAAGGCATCTAGGCACATACATTTCTAGCTTATGTCAACTATTCTTTAAATTTCCTGAGAGAGGCTACAGTTCCCATATTAAAATCAATACTTTCATTAATTTATTCAACAAATGTTTATTACCAAGGGCAGGCACTGTGGTTTTGATCCCTGTGTCATGATAGACATAATCTAAGTTCTTTGTACCCACTGGTCCCTAAATGTTACAAGCAATGCAGTCTTTGTTTCAGTGAGCCAAGCGTTGTCTGTCTTTCCCAGAACATACAACCTCCTCTTCAGTGTCAAAGAAGCCTCGGCTAGACCAGATTTTTGTTGCCAACCTCGATGCAGATGATCCTCTAACAGATGTATGTTTTGTTTCCTCCTTTCATCTCCATAGTAACTTATATCATGTTTTCTGAAATTTTTTTATTCATGTGGTTTTAACCAGTGCCCTGTACTTATTTTTACTTACCTATTATTGAAATGCTAAACTTTATAGTTGATTTTAAAACCAAAAATGTTGCTAGTTAATCAAACTTTATCTCTGGAGAATCAAATAAGGAAGTGTTTTATTAAAGACTATGCTTCCCTAAAAAATAATTTCTTATATTTACCCATAGAATTTGGGTGCCATGTTACCCATCTCCAGAAGGCACTCTTCAGACTGGGCACTCTATCAATAGCAGCCCCTAAAGTTGAACTTTAGAAACCACTGATGCCCCTCCAGAGTGCAGTACACTTACTGGCTCCCTCTACGCTGAGGGAGGGAAGTGAGCTAAGTGGGAGATTTTAAGGGTTAGTGCTTTAGTGACATGAATATTTAATGGAACCCACAGTCTACAATTAATTTGCAGTTTTCTACTTACAGTGAAATCTGAGTGATCTTTCATGAGTAGCATCTGATTAAGCACATAAATCAGCAATTCTGGAGTGGACAGATTGAATTAAATAATTCAGTTAATTAAATATAGGGAACTCAGTGAGACTTAATGATTATCCATTTGAAATTGGTTTCTTCCGAGAAGTTAGCACCCTTTTAGTACTTTTGATTATCCTAATAGGTCTAAGTTTTAGGCTGGATAAAACTATTTTGATTCTTAGGGTGATACACTATGTATATATGTGCTGTGTATATCAGTGTAAAGTGTTCCTTTTCTAGTTTTAGAAATATTTTTATGTCTAAATTCCCTTTGACCATGTAAATTTGAAAGGTACTTTGTTATACTATTTGTTGTTACAATCTCTAAAACATAACAGGGGTTGACATTTTAGTGAGTTTTCATAAGCTTTTTTGTGGGGTTTTTTTGTTTAGTTGTTGATTTTAATAATATCTAGGTGCATCTATCTCTCCCACTGGGAAAATTAATCCTGCTCCAAAGACCTGGCAATTCTTATGGGGGAAAAATTAATAATGTGAATTTTCTCTTCAATGGGCCATCACATTCTTTTTCAGGAGGAAGATGAAGATGAAGATTTTGAAGAGGAGAGTGATGACGATGATACTGCAGCTCTTCTTGCAGAACTAGAAAAAATTAAAAAAGAAAGAGCTGAAGAGCAAGCCAGGAAGGTAAAATGTTAAATATTTACATCTTCTTTCATAAACTAAAGTAGAAATATTTTTAATTTCAAGTAAAATCTTATATTGGAAATTGTCCCTGGTGTGTCTAGATATATCACCTGTAGATCTATAAATCTGATAAATTTTTATGGCATTTTAAGTCACTTGGTAATGTGGGAAATTCTTTCCAAATAGTTTAAGACATGCTTAATAATATAATACTCATCTTGTTCTTTATACACTTATTTGTTTTCTCAACAGATATTTAGTTAATGTCTATTAAATGTCAGAAGAATCAAAAATGATTTAGTCATGGCCTACAAAGAACTCACGAATATAATGAGGTCATCGTCTTGTCTTCCCTGTCTCCTGCTTCAGCTTTCTTTCCAGGCACTTGTTGAAACAGTCTGTCAATAGATTTTACATAATCTAGGACAATTCACCTAACTTCTCTGAGTCTCCACAGTCTCTCAATTCACACAATGGGATAAAAGAATATCTAACTCAAAGACAGTTGTAAGGATTAAATAAGACCCATAGTAATAACAATAAGAGATGAAATTGGAGGCAGGAACAGGCCAAAAGCATTAGAGAGCCCGACCAGCGTGGCTCAGTGGTTGAACTTTGATCTATGAACCAGGAGGTCATGGTTAGATTCCTGGTCAGGGCACATGCCTGGCTTGTGGGCTGGATTCCCTGTAGGGTGCATGCAGGAGACAGCTGATCAATAATTTTCTCTCATCGATGTTTCTATCTCCCTCTCCCTCTCCCCCTCTCTGAAATCAATTTTTATAAAAAGCATTGTAAACCAATGCTAAAGGAATTTGGACTCTGTTTTGAAGAATAGGAGCAGCTGGTCAATTTCAACAGGAGATTGGTGAGATTATGCATTTTTAGAAAGATTACTCTGACAGAAGTATGGAAGAAGCTATCCCAATAATCCTCAAATGCATTTATGATAATCATGCTTAATAGGAGTTGGAATTGAAAGAAGTAAACAGATGCTGATAGGAGCTATCGAGGTAGAATTGACTAAATAAATTGATCAGATGTGGCAATAAAGATGATCCCATTTTCTGGGTAGATGTTGGTGCCATACACGAACAGGGAACACAGAAGGATGGGCAGAGAGAAAAGAGGTGATACAGAAGGGAGGTGGAGAGAAAAGAGATGAGTTCTGTTCGGAACATGTTTTTGATACTTGATACATTGTGAGGTGACCAAGTAGAGATAGCTGTCTCTCCTTTCAACCAGAACAGAGCAGCTCTTTTATGGCATATGGCATCTGTGTAAGATTATATGTGAGCCAAAGATTGTTCTGTTTAAAAAAAGAGGAAGAAGACTTAGAGAAAAGACTGGCATAGGTTAATGCTTGGAATCAAGGGAGGTTGTAGAGTTCATGTGTTAGCAGAAGGGCCATCAGAAAAGAGATCAAATGTGGAATAGGCTTTGAAGACTGCTAGAATTAAGATTGGAAGGAGAAAAATATTTTACTGCTTAGTTACCAGAGTTTGGCACAGGAGAGCGTAACTTCTATAATAGCTTAGAATTTTTACATCTAATTGTAGAAATCAGAGAATTTAAGAACATTTCTAAAATCACTTGTACACCACTAGAGGGCAATTGTTCCGAATACATAGACAGATGAGCAATTCAAATGCAATGGTTAACCTTTAAGGAGGATAAACATTTTAGAACAGTGGTCAGCAAACTCAGTCAACAGAGCCAAATATCAACAGTATAATGATTGAAATTTCTTTTGAGAGCCGAATTTTTTAAACTTAAACTATATAGGTAGGTACATTGTTATTAACTTAATTAGGGTACTCCTAAGGCTTAGGAAGAGCCACACACAAGGGGCCAAAGAGCCACATGTGGCTCACGAGCCGCAGTTTGCCGACCACTGGCGGAGACTATTTAACTGTCTGATCTTATAATTTTGTGAGGTTCATCTGATCTCTGTACAAAAATGTGTTGGTGTTTCTTGGAGTTGCTTGAGTTTTAGTTCCCTGTTGCGCTGGCTTTCTAGTGGTTGCTTTGTGTGTGTCCTAAAAGAACATTTGAAACCAGTCTGCCTATATCAGGTGTTGGGAAACTTTCTATAAAGGGCCAGGTTATAACTCCTTTAGGCTTGTGGGCTACAAAGCCCCTGTCACAACTATTCAGCTCTGCCTGTTGTAGCACAAGCAACTCTAGACAGGACCTAAATTAATCAATGTGACTATGTTCAAATAAAACTTTATTTACACAACAGGGTGGTTTGGATTTGACCCCCATAATGTGCCTGGTACTTGAATA